GTATGGCAGGCCATTTGTTCGCTGTTCCGCCGCATCTCAAAGAAATAAACAAAAGGGGCGCAGCGCCAAAATGCCGGAAAATCCACACATCCTTCGATGCAGGCACTTTGCATGCAATGCGAGAAACTTGCTCAACGATTTCGTTGTTGTCTGTGAAAACTGTGAAAACTGTGAAAATGAATTTGTAAAAATGCGCTCGTAATAATTTCTCGATTTTTGGTGGAAATTATTTGATTACACACACGTGTGGAACGCTGATGCAGCTGCCAGCCAAAGGACTCGATCTTCCACAGCTCCTCAGCTCTGCCCCCAGCTGCCAGTTGGCCATAAAATAAACTTCATCTTCAGTTCGTGCTGCTCGGCATTCGGCATTCGGCTCTGTACAGGAACTTGAAATGCGCATTCATTCGCAAAATTCCCAAAACAAATAAAGTAGTTTTCAAAGGGGAGGGAGTGCTAGCAAACACTGTGCTGTGCAGGATGAGAATAAAGGCAAAGAATCTCGATTATAGCCATGTGATTTGCGGTGCCGCAATAGCTAAGCGACATAATAAAGATCCTGCGAGAACTTTCAGCTGCCCCTAAATGGAGTAGGCAAATACAAATGCAAAGGCGAAGGCGAAGGCGAAGGCTTAAAGCATTAGACTAGCAAATTTTGAGAGTCTAATTGAAAAATTATAGGAGGCAGCCAATTGAAAATACAGCAATTTGAAAATATTCATTAAATTCCTTTTCTTTCTTCTACTTTTCTTTTTTAGATCAATAATCTGCACTTAATACAAAATGTTCTTTGCTAAGTGATATAAAGCCAAATCACTCATATATTTATATTAAATTTGATCAGTAATTAAAATATTTTATTACTTAAATGGATATTGTAATTACTTAAGTGAATATTTTTATTACTTAAATAAAAACTACTAATTTAACATATTATTTGTGTGAGCAAGAGCAGACGAAAGTTTTCAGTTTTTCATTAGTTAAGATATTTTGATTATTACGTAATTGTAATTGTAAGTAATTGCAATTGTTTCTTGAATAATTAATTAATAATTGTAACTCCTATTTCTTTAAATCAAGCAATCATAAACTGAAAGACTAAAATACTGAAAAATGCAATTAATAAAACCAAATACTTAAAATTGTAAAAAATTACTTCCGTAATTAGGTTATTATTTCTTTGATTCTTTGTACCTTTGATATATATTTTAATATATACACATTGTAGCTACTTCCCCAATCACCGCTAATATAATGATATAATTAGGGTACGATCAACATTCTAATATGATAAACACAAACTTCTAGCAAAATAAATATATAAATAAAATAAAAATAAAAAATAAAAATAGAAATATAAATATAAATAATAGCCTGATAAATAGAACTGAAGAAAATGTTTTTCCTTAAATACATATATAATTGCTACACAGAAAATCATTAATTATTCCCCATCAGTCATATATAAAATGTAATTCCTTTGGTAATTGTAGCTAAAGGAACATTATTTATTAACTTAACGAGATGCGTTTGATATGGAGAAAACTACCTTCTTCCTGGTTATATGCGCCAGCTTGGGGTTAATGTAAAAGGAAGAAGGAAGAACATAGATGGGGCTGTGAGAGGCCGATTTGGCTAGTGGCTGGCGTGTAATTTGCATTTTGCAAGAAGTCCGAAATGAACTAATAAACACACCGGAAGCCGAGTCCACAAATTGTCGATGCTCTGCCGCGCAAATCGTATTACCCAGGCGAGGCGACCCCAAGCGAAAAAGAATGGGCCCGGTGCCAGTGGCCGTGGGCAACGTGAGCACCGTGGGCACCGTGGGCTAATAGGCAGCCAGTCGCGAATACTTGGCTCAAATTGAAAGTTATTTAATGCAGGCGGAGAAGGTCGGGCCACTACGGTTCAGGCTGCCGGGTGGCGGCCTATGAGGCTACGGAAATTGTTACGCGATGCTCGGGCAGGCCAAGAAGAAGCCACCAACAGCAGCAACAACAACTGGGACTTGTTTGCTTCTCTTTTTTATTTTTAACAAATAAGATTCAAAAAGTTTATGCTGTTGGCTGTCAAGAGTTGGCAAATGGGCAGCCGCACGGGGCCGGGGCAAGGGGCATGTGATACGCATTCGGATTCGACGGGAGTATGCCGTGCGGGGACACTGAATATTTAACGAACGGCTGCGGAAGAGGAAGCCAAATGGCGCAAGTGTTGCTCAGTTTAATCTATTTCCTGCCTCGAACCCAGAGCCAGCGACTGAGAGGAAGACAGAGAGACAGAGGCGGAGTCTGACTGCCTGGCCAGCTGGCCGATCCGCGCAATCTTTAAATACACAAATTTATCGTTTCATAAAAAGCCAAACTTCACTTAATTCCGTGAGACAACGAAAATTTCTCGGCTCGCCGCAAGTAAATTCATTTTCCCGTAAATATTGTCTACGGCGGAACTTCATTTAAAAAAATCAGAGAATGAAAAAAATAATATAAATTAAGAAACAAATTTTTTTAAATATAACTTTCTTTGTTAAATAATTTGGTAAGTGAATTTTATTTCACTAATTATTTTTAAAGTTCAAAAGTCTTGAATTTAAAATCATATGATAATCATATGATAAATTGTAAATAAAATACCTCAAAATAAATAACTTCAAAATAAGTAAATTGTAAATTAATTTTTATATTATATTTTTTAGCACGTAAATATCAATTATAAAAGAATACATATTTATATATAAGTGCATTTCAGACATAAAACGTTGTTATATATTATTTTAATTAATTTATTATTATTATTATTTTTTTTTTTTGCTAAGATTCAATGTAAATTTACTATATTTTAAAAACAACGTTTTATGTCTGAAATGCACTTATATATAAATATAAATATGTATATAAATATGTATATATATATATATATATATATATATATATATATATATATATATATATATATATATAAATATATATATTAAAATATATATATATTTTTTTTATGATTCATATATTGCTGGCTTTATAAAAAAAACCTTTGAAAATGCTTTCAAATCGTGACTGTCTATGGGAAAAAGAAATATTCAGCTAAAAACTTTTCAGATTTTCTTCTCCTTACAAAAGTTTCCCTAGAGAAATGAATGTCTAACTGGGGGGCGAAAAAATCTCAACACGGAGGCCACGAAATTGTTTTCAAATTAAGATGGCAATTTTTAGCGTCCAGCGTCCAGTGGGCGAAAAGAGAGAAAAAAGCACACACACACACACATACATTCCCAAGCTGAAGGACCTGGTCAGGTGTCAGTTGCCAGCAGCAGGTGGGGGCAACAGAAACTTATGCTGGAGCTCGACACCAATGAAATTTGATTATGTTTCGCGGTTACACTTCATTCGTCTGCAGCTACAGCTCTCCCTCCCACTCTCTCTCCCTCTATCGCTCTTTCTCTCTCTCACCTTGCCTAAATTTGTGCCATGGCAAATTGACATAAATTGTTGTTGCTGTTATTGTTGTTGTTTTAGGGTGGGGGTAGGTAAGGCAGTTGGGTGGCTGGCCAAGCGGCACTCACTCAAGCAATTTATGCGATCAATTAAATTTTTCGAATGACCAAAAAGTTGTTTAGCATTTTAATTTTCATAAATTTTACTTAAATGTTTTCACTTTGGCAATAGTAAATTTCATTTCGGGACGCCGCTTAATGTGTCAGAGGATTTTTTGTTGTCTCCTGTTTTTTTTTTTTTTTTTTTTTTTTTTCGGGCGAGTTATGAAAATGATAACAAGATTTTATGATGATTAGAAAATTTAGTTGAACTTTAGGTGGCACAGGGGCTGACCGAGTGCGGCGGTGGGGGCGTGGCATATGCACATTAGAATTTATTGCAAATGAGCAAAAGTTTTTCGCCCAGAAATTAGAAATGCACGAAAAAAAGTCAAGGAGGCAGTGAAAGTAAATCAAATGTAAATCATCGACAGCAGCCAGCGATCCCCGGACCAACTTTCATCTCTCAAAAGTCCAGCCAAACGACCAACCAGCCAGCAGCATAAATGATATACAACACATTTTGTGGAACCTTTACAACTAAATGCGGATAATCTGTAAGTTTGCTTTTCCCAAATTTATGTGAAACGGGTGGAGTTTTCCTCTGATGCTGCTGCTGCTGCTGCTGTTGGCTGGCCTTGTTGTTGTGCTTTTTCTTGGTTCCCTGTATAGTTTTTCAGCTGCCCTCCCTCGGTATCTGGTGGCAGCCGCCCAAAAACTAAAACATGCGCATTCAATGGGCGTCCGTCCCATCCGGGCCAACAGACCAGTCCAGCCCCCAACCCTGATCCTGTTGCTGCAATTCATTTCCAACAGACGGGCGTCTCTCTTTCTCTATGTGTGTGTGTGTGTGTGTGTTCGTTTGGAGGAGTGCTTCTCGGTATATATGTGCGGAGATTTACCGTTTTATACTTGACATTTCCAAAAGTTTAAGTTTTAATTTATGACACCGCCACTTTCTATACGGGGCGACAAGCTAAATATGAGCGAGCGAGCGCAGGATGCGCATGGGGTGTGGAATGTGGGGTGTTGGGTGGGGGGCAGATCCTTAAACAGGATATCTAACTATTGTCGTTAGTCTTGAGGCGCTCGTCCAGCTCATCTTCACAATACGCTCACAGCTTTCTATGCTGTCCATTTTGCTCATTGTGAACGAAACAGTTCTGTTGTGCTCAGGGAAAGGTGCCGAAAGTGGATTTTACAACAAAAATATATTTGCCTCAAATTTTTAATTAAATTATTAATATATTTCTTGTTTAAGGAGCTAAAGGAGTTGATTGTAAAAGAAGTATTTTTTCATGAATATGACTTATTTATAACTATCTCAATATAGTCGACATTCGACTGAAAGATGTGAATCTATCGACGACTAATTGTCATTCACATTGATGTATATCGATTGTTAGCAAGTCTATCGAATGGCCCGTCTGTCGCCTACTCAGCATTTTGTGACTTGACATATAAATTTTTCATTACAGAGAAAACAACATTTTATTATTCAGTGTCACTACAAAGCACAGAGATGAAAGGCAAAACTGAGAAAAATTCTAAAGCACGTAAACGGTCAAAAATCCATATATATAAAAAATATAAATATAAAGGAAATCGTGAAGTCAGTGTAACTTGGAGAAGGAAAAATCATCAAACTGGCTTAACAATTCAAGGTAACTGTAAAATATTTTGCATTAATGAAATGCTCACACTTGGTTATTCGATTTACTCCAAATAGTTCGCTATTATGCGAAATTCAAGTTAGGCTCTATAGAGAACTGGATCGGGTGGAATTTACTTAAACGTCGGAACTATATTTTGAACGAATCGGAAGACCTTGGCTCCGATGAAAAGCAAGAAGAATGTATTAAAGAAAAGCCTGAACGGGATGCGGTCGTCATGAATACCGAGAAAATACCCAAGCAGGAGATAAATATGCCAAACCCAGTTTCAGTCAATGTTGAGGCATCCAACTGGTCGATTTCCAGTATAATTGAATTGATGCAGAATAAAGAAGATTGGAATGCTACTAGGGGTGGTCGGAACGTTTCACCGGCGGACAAATGATTTTCCCGAAAAGTAAAATTCCGGATGATGTGAACACGATAATGAACGTAGCTGAAAAATCAAAATAAAAATCAAAATCCAATAATTCCCAAGAATGAAAATTGGGATGTCACTCAAGGTGACAATATGTTGGAAAAATGTAAAAATGTTCATCTATATTGTTCAAATATATTATATATCATCTTATTCACAACTGTCTTATGCTGTGTAGCTATATATTCTAAAATTCTTTAATTGCTTCGAGTTTTCTAACTATATTAATTACTTAATCTCGTATATGGTAATATATATTCCCGGTGTGATCAGAGACAATGTATCCTGAATTTAGTAAAACAATAGCCCAATAGGAGCAATGCAAATTGAATTAACAATAGAGCTACAGATATTTTAAATATAACATTCGGTAACAGTAAAATTTTCATACAGCTAAATCTATGCCATTCTACATAAAAGTAACGCATTTCTGAATTGGCTTTGCTTCAACTGAGTGTCTTATTTTTGGCATAACTCACCTCAATATTAATTTGGCAAAAGAAAAATAGAATATGTATTTTTTTATTTTTTTTTTATTTTTATTTTTATTTTTTTTGTATAATAGACATTTACAAAACTAGTCGGAGTATAAATATCATTATAGAATAATTGTATACCCTAAGTAAGCACAGGCGAATTATTTCAATCATTTTACCAGGTTAGAAATATGGTTCCCCCAAATATTTTGATTTATTAATGTAAGCTTAGAACAGAAATGATAATCAAGAAATATCAAATGACATGATCCAGGTTGCTAATTAAAATGGGATTAGATTGATGATTCGCAAGCACAACTCAATTTATATTTAAATGGCAAAACTAATTAAATAAATCAATAACTGAATGTTAAATTTATTTATTTATTCTTTCCATCTCAGGCTTCATAATCAAATGAACTCAATACTCAATTTATACTTCATACGATTTCTGTTTATTATCAGCTTGGAAATATTCAGAGCTATTCAAATAGTCATATACATATAAGGGTATTAGGTAGGTAGTATAGACTTTCCATGTGCAGTATACATATTTTATACACGCTCCAACTATAGATTAATTTGCCAAAAAAATTTAAGAGTAGAACATTTAACATCAAGATCCAACGATTTAGAAGAGCACTGGTGCGTTTTCTGCGCATTTAGCAGTCGACTCTCCGTGAGTGATATTAACTTCCGATTTCCACATATCAATATTTCTTTTTAACTAGAACCAGCGATTTCGTGATCCCCGTTGCCACATCGAGCGCTCATAACTGCCCAAACCTGCTGGAAGTAGATGATAGAAGTAGATGTGCGGGGAATGTAAAGAATCTCGGCTCACCTGGCAACGAGTTAAATGTATCTCCTCCGCCTCTGCGTAATTCAGCAGGAGAACTGCAATTGGGATGGGATATAGGTAAATTAGTTGTAATTCAACTCGAATGGGACTGGCACTTACTATAGTCCATTTCGGGAACTGTATCGGCCGTTATTCACATCATCCCGTCTGGAGGAGCGATAATTAGCATCCCTGTAGGGTGCACAATCATCCTGATAGTTCCTCGACCTGTGGGGATACCAATCGTGCAGCCTGTTGTAGTGGGCAGGCTCGGGACAATCGGAGTACGCCTTCAGGTGGTCCCCGTCCTCGGGAAGTTCGCAGCGATAACCGGTCTGAGCGACATACTGGTGATAGCACTGCACGCAATAGAAATTTTCGATATATTAGGCATGTATTAGAATTATTTTTTGGCGAAATAGAAATATTCTCCCGTAAACTCACGTCGATCGCAGTGTCATTTATTGGTGCTGCCATTCCGTAGGTCTCCATAATTTTGAAAATTTAAAAGAAAAAGGAATTTGAAATTTTTTAGAAAAACGTGTTAAGCCCAAACGTAAGAATAAAAGTGAGCTCCCAAGGCACTGAGCAGGGCTTGCTCACCTTTTGAAAAGGCTTTGCTCACTAGATCAATCAAATTTCATTGTTTTACGAAACTGAGTGTTCGAACTTTTGTTAAGAGCTCAGATTTATATTTATTATTGCTGTTGTTTTTTGTAATATTAATAATCTTGCAAGTGAAATGCATAAAAGTAAAGACATATGAGAACTTCCTCGCGACTTCTAATCCTTTTCCCTGGTGATTTTTGTTGATGCGCAGTCTACCGATTGACCAGTTGGCCACCAGTCGACAGGGTTATTATTATTTTAAATGGTAATATTAATACTAATATTGATAAATTATTATTAATATATTAAAATTATTTTTTTTTGTTTTTTAATTTTTTTTTTTTTTTTAGAATTATTGTTCTTTTTATTATTCTGGCCTTATATGCTCCATTGCCTATAATATACGTAGCCATTACCTATGTATATATATAATACCTATAATATATACAAAAATCTTAATGGTGATCTTTAATTATGTTGGACTTTTTATGAATTATCATTATTATTATTAAAATTATTTATTTTTATTGTATAACGTCATTACATATTATAAACAATTTACCAAGTTCATAACGATCCTCTTAGATTTTCTAAATATTTCTTTTCAAATGCAAATTTTCACTTGGCCTTATTTAATGCAGCAAAATTTCAAACCGAAATTAGAAACATTTTAGTGTAAATTTTCAATTTACTAATGATGTGAGCTCGCGTGTGTGTGTGTGTGTGTAAAGTGAACTTTCGGTATAAGTCTATGGGCTCAACATGAAAGCTGAAATCCCTCTGTCCAGGTTTTGCCAACCTAGGCAAAAGCCCTCTCCGCACTCTGCACACGCTCCGTGAGGATGATGAATTTGGACATTTTGTGTGCGCAAAGTCACTTGCTTAAAAGTTATTAGGGATTAAAAGAGTTGCGGCTAAGGACGCAAATGCGCTACGGAATCTGCTTCATTAGAGTGTGGAGTGCCATTGCAGGACATGTCCATAAAGTACATGCGTGTGTGTGTGCGTGTGTGTGGGTGGGTAAGTAAACACCTTTTGGGTGAAAGTTTTTGAAAATACTAAGAGGAAATCACTTTGGACGTTCTGCAAAACGAGCCAAAGAAAACGCAGCAGAGAAGCACCACAAACTTTCTCTGCCCCAACCAGTCAACCAACCAACCAGCCTGCCTGCCTGCCTGCCTGCCTGACCTCTGACCCCTGAACCCGCCGAAGCTGGTGCTGAAGGATGCGTGAACGATTATGACTGCCTCCGATGGCACCAATGGCATTTTAATGCTGCCCGCTGCAACTTTTGAGACATCTTAATTCCCTTCGAGATAAATCAAAGGGGCGCAACGGATCAGTGGGCGGAGCAGGTTTCTAGAGTTTTGCTCTATACAAAATTGTTGTATTTTTATTTACAGCATTTTTAACTTATGCATTTTTATGAGCTTGAGCTATGTGTGTGTGTGTGTCCGTGTCTATGTGTATGTGTGTGTGTGTGTTGTTATCCTTTCATAAATGCGTCCAACGAGCAACTGATTTATGCCACCACAAGCTGGCGCTGCTGGCAGCCAATTGCAGCACTTGCACCACTTGCACCACTTGCAACCCTTGGGCTGCCGCTTCCTGACGTCGACGTCGGCAACAAAGTAACAAAACAGCAAACAAAAATTCCAGAAACAACATAAAACCGATTGATTTATTTTGACAATGCTCCATGCAGTGCACAGGGCAAGAGAGCGACAGAGAGAGAGTGAGAGAGAGAGAAACAGAGAGAGTGTGTCCGAGGCCAAGTCCGGTTGCCTTTGTTTGCGACCAGGTCTAGTTGCCCCAACGTGCCCCATCGACATGTTCCATTCGCATTTCGGACCGTCACCACCCCCTCCCATTACACCATGCAGTCCTTCGAATGGTCACAAAGCCATCCCACATCACGTGCCGTTGCCTACCGGCTGTAAAAGTTGTCCTCGTTGTCCGTTTGTAAAATATTTTATTTGCACATCTTTCTTATTTTAATCCTTCATTGCATTCATTGTTGGGTTTGCGGGGGTGCTGCGCCTTGGGCCCCATCCGCAGTGGCTGCCAGTGGTGCTGCGTGAGTTTCTATGCTGTGGCAAATGGCCATAAAACACACGTTAATTACCCCCCACAGCAGGTCCAACCTAGCCGCTCGAAACTCCCTATCTCCATAAGAACTCGTCTCATTTCGCATAGAAAAAATAACGACCAAAAAATAGAAATACGAAAGACCCAAATGGCGAAGATTATGTAGCCCTGTAGACATGCGGCTTAGCTGTAAAATTTTATTTTAAATAAAATCTCTAAAAATATATATACGTGTATAAAATAAATGTAAAATATATATAATATATATAATTTTTTTTTTATTTGTTTTCCATACAAAAATATATGTTTTGTGCTTTTTTTTTTTTTTTTTTTTCTTTGAACAAATTTTTGACAATATATTATATTTTTGTTTGCGCTTTATTTTCCTTAATACATTTTTTGACAAAATGTCTAAATTGTATGTGCTTTATTTTTCTAAATAAATTTATTTGACAAAATATATACATATATATTTTTTTGTGCTTTATTTTCCTTGAAATAAAATTTATTTATTTTTATTTTATTGTATTTTTATTTTTTATTCATTTTTTTTTAATATCCAAATTTGAAATTTATTATTTACGATTTATTAAATATATTTATAAAATATCATTTAATATACGATAGGATTATATGTGAGAAATAATAGACGAGAATTCCACACATCTCGGTAAAGAGATAAATTTTTAATAATTTTAAAATTTGAAAAAAAATTTTTGACAATTTTGGCGTTAATAAGAGAAATGCGTTCAGAATTTTGATACTATTGACATGATCCATTCACTCTTCTGGTGAGCAAGTACAGTGGAGTTTTCGCCATAACAAAACATTTTATAAGCGAAGACCACCGTTACTACAAAAATATCTTAGAAGCAATACGCAGCATAGCTATATAAATGCATATTTATATATATATATAACACTTAGATGTCTTTTTATATCCATTACTGCCACAATGAGTTGACTGTAATCGACTGACCCGTGGGATCTGCAAAGAGGTAAGTGCAGTTGGGGATCAATGGGAAGATTTCATGGGGCACATACCTCCAGCATATTGTGGGTACTCGCTCCGCTTATCGCAACCATCGTTCGGGGTACTGTGATAACTTCAGACTTAGCATTACATAGAGCGCAATAGAGGATGCCATCTGGGATACTTACTACAGGCCGTTGCGGGCTCGCATCTCCCGAGCTCTTCGACTTTGGCGTTCTGAGCAGCGATAGGAAAAAGGGTTGTTTGTGACGTGCCGCTGATGGTAGTTCATGTTACACCCGTCCCCTTGTAGATGGTCGATATCCGATTTGACGCCGTTATCATAAAAATCGCTTTGGATCCCGCAATTGTTTATATTTGACATGGCAGTTTGATCAAAGCTTTTATTTACGGAATTCATCTAAAGGAAAATTTAAAAAAAAATAAATAAATAAAAAAAAATTAAATGAAAAAAAATTCGGTATCTCAAATTTACCTCGGGATAAAAAAGCTGGGGAAACGGCATTTCAATACGATAACCACCAATTTGTGCATTCTCAAAGTAATCCATTTTTTTTACAATTAACAAACTGAACCTGGATTATACAGTTAATAAATATCGCCTCTGCCAAAATATGGAAAATTTGTAGGTCTAATTTTAGATTGTAGTCAAAGGAAATGTTCTGAATGAATGAAATTCGTTAAAGCTTCAGCTCATGAGAAAACATTGACAGAGAAAAGCCAACTTGATTTAAAAATTTTTGCATTGTAGAGAAGGCATAGTAAATAAAAGTATATGTAATAAAAATATTTATATAAATATAACTAGAAAGACAGAGTGAGTGATAGAGAGTAATTCTATGTAGATTGGTGGACAACATTTGGCCAAATGAATGCCGATCATTCACAACTGAAATCTTGCATGGCATGATCGAAAAGATATGAAAATTAAATTAATTCAAAGAAATTGAAAGATTCCTTAATATCTTTTAGCTATTTATTTATAAACACTTAAATCATATCTATATATCTATCTGTCTATATCTATATAAACGCAATGTTTATCAGATATATGAATAATCATATTTTAGACATAACATGAATGGATATATAAATGGGCGTTTGCTCATATGGAATTAATGCAGTAAATTGTATTTAATTGAAATTTTAGTCAATACAGATAGATATCTAGCTAGCAAATAGTCTTATATGACTACACTAGCTCCGCAATTGATAGATCTTCAAGAACTCATATAATTGACTCTTATAGGTAGCCTCAATTTCTTGTGCCTATAGGAAAACAAATTTGATAATTGACGAATGCACATACAGATACTTTATTGTTGCAATTTGATATAATTTAAATGGATTTGAGTGTGGAAAGTGCTATTGCAACTCGGATGCATTTTATTGTTTATCTCTATTGTGAATGACAGCAGTCGATTGATGTTTCTGCTTGGGTCTTGGCCTTTTTCCAAAATATTCCTTCATATCTTAACAGTTAATCGCCCCACAGCACACACAGTTCTTTGGCATGTCTCAGCATCAACAGCATCCATTGCAACCGCAACAGCCGCAGGCTGGCTTACAGCAAGGCGGACTGCAGATATGGAATATAGAATGATCATAAAACATTTCAAACAAGTTAGTTAGTTAGTATTTTGACACTCACTCATTTAAACCATTGCGTGCATGCCTCTCCCGCTCGCGCTGCTTTTCCCGCATGGCGTAGCGATAAGCCGCGTTGCTAATGAAGAATCGCGGCGGCGCCGGCACCTTTCTGCATCCATAGCACATATTGCAAAAATTTCAATTTAGAATGGGAAAAAAGGCCGGAAAAAAGGAAATTTTGAAAATTCAAGCTCTGCTTTCGTCAAACAGAACTCAAAGACTAAAGAGAATTCTGAACATTTCGTCAGTATGAAATGTTGAGAAAGCAAAGCTAACGAGATCTATAATTTAGAACTCAGATAAACTGTCATACAAAAATATACGCTGTCATACATATGTAATACAAAGCAGAATCAAGAAAGATCATATTATCACGATGCGCATTCCGATATTCCTGAAATATTTTCTCACACTGGCAAAGTTATAATAAAAGAGAAAATGTTTTCTATTGACATCAGAGCATTTTATTTATTTATTATAAAAGCAAAAGTCAAAGGTAACAATTGAGTCAAATCCACACTAGTGACTAGTAATACGGATTGCCGCCTTGTCGGGGCTGGCCATACATCTGACCCTCGGGACCGCCTATGCCGGGGAGCGAGTTGTAGTAGTCGCCATTGCCACGGCCCGAACGCTGATCCGTTGGCGAGCTAATGATATGGGATATATATAGAAGTATACCATTTTAAATCTTCAAAAATCTTTTGGTCAACTCACTAGAGTCCATTGCGGGAATTCATCTCTCTCAAGACCTTTGAATACCGAAGTGGGCTGCGGTAACCAGGACCGCCAAAGGAAGCGGAGCCGCCTTGGCAGTTCCTGCCGTCGTCATATGACTGCATACCGCCGCCATAACCACCACGCGACTGCATATAATCTTGGCCCATTTCCGGAGCCTGGCCGTCAGGAGCTGACATTCCGTAGCCCTCCATGGACTGGTATGGGCCACCGCCGTTTCCTTGACCATAATCCATATTTCAATTTGTTATTCTTATATTTTCTTTTTCTATTTTACTTTTAAGTATTGTATTTTTTATTTTTTATTTTTTCCTCAAGTATATTTTTTCCGAAAAGTGAACTCAAATTTAGATCAAAACCCTATCAATTTCTAAACATAAATATATGTATATATATTTTTTTTGGCTCTTTTCTGTCCGAAACCTGAAATAAAACTGAAATGTAAAGGCAGAGCGTAGAGCCTACACAACTCGGATTCGACTTCATGGCTAGTTTGATTTGGAAATTTGTAAAGAAATATCAAACAAGGTTTTCCTTGAGAAATGGAACGGACATTTTTTTATTAAAACCGAAGACTTCTAATAAATAATTGAAAAAAAAAATGTTTATGTTTACTCTTCTTGCTTGGTCTTTTTCAATTCTGAATACATTTCTAGCAAATTAAAAAGAGTTTTCTTAAAATCTTGCAATGGAAAATGCTTTTTGCACTCCCTTTAGGCATCTTTCAATGCTGAGTGAATTTCTAGAAAATGGGAAAGTCTTCAAAAGCTCTTTTAAATCAATTCCCTTAGACATATCTAATGTCTTAATGAACTCTTCGTAACCATCTCTCCATACTGAATCGATTTCTATCAAATGCGCGCTCTTTTAAATCATCTTATAATGTAATAATACGGTCCTAACTATCTGCACATACCAACTCTAAGACATATTTCAATTGAAAATGGAAAAATGGCTAGTACATTAACATCTTCCAATTATGAGTCCATTTGCTTGGCCTTCTGTTAGCCCATTCGAATGTCTTATCGCCTTGGACGCAGAGCAAGCGCAAAGTTTTTGTCAAAAAAAATAAAATAAAAAATAAAAAATTGGCCATAATGGAAATCAAAATGTTGCCATCTAGCTCTGCAGTCGGCGAACAGCCTACACAGCCTGCCCCGCCCGCATTGGAGCCAATGAATATGCAGAAGGTGCAGCTAGCCGAATAATTAAAATCGAGCTGGTTGCTCGCTTGGAGGATTACGCTGGGGCTGCCTGGCAGATACGGCAAACACTTTACGGTCGACAATTAAGTGCGCCTCGTAATCTGTCTGTCGTAATTATGGGCTCCACGGCGTATTTATCTGCTGCAATTAGCGCCGTGCACGAGTCGCGTATATATTTCACAGATCCAAAGATTGAATTGCCCAGACCAATTTGCATGCGCTCTGATTCGCTGCCTGCTCCTTGCCAGCCCTAAGGACACACCGCTACCAATACCAATACCAACTCCTGCACTAGGAGTAGAAGTAGAAGCCGAAGCAGAAGCAGCGACTGCTCAAGTTTATGCCCTTAATTAAATTTCACTCAAGACAACAACAAGAAGTGCAATATTTTGAATTGTAAAAGACAATCGTAGGTTACTGATCAGTCATAGGACTGAACTATATAGGATTGGAGTATTAAAGATTTAAGATATGCTCAGATTGCTGTTAGCTGGCTTTAAGGTGCGCCTGCGCACATATGCTGAGGAATGAATGACTGATTGTCTAATTGCTTGGCGATTTCCTGTGCGATTGACTGATAAATTTGATTGACTGATTGAATAGCTATGTGAGGAGCAGACGGATTGAACTAATCAACTAAATTGATTGCTTGATTGAAACTGACCTACTGACTAGCGGAAGAACATGCTACATTAACATAATCATGTTAACTAACAGTGAATTAATAAAGCACTGCTATAATGCACTCTGCTGTTAACTTCTAAACTTGTTACTTTTCTAAATACCCGTTCTCTAGTATATTAGATAATTCTATATTCTATTAATAGGAGTTCTGTTGATATAGTTAGTTTACTATTAAAATTATAAATCCATCTTATTAGAATTATATAAATATAAGTCATATAAAGTCCATATGCATATATTGGAATTATATAAATATAAGTTAAATATATTTATGAATATTCATATACATAAATATATTTAAACTATGCCCAACTACTTCATATATTGAAATCCCTCAAGTAAGTGATACTCAACTCGATCATTATGATATTTCCCTCTTTGGTCTTTATTAAAACTAAAATATCTCTACAATTGGTAGCTTAATTAATCAAATGTGATATTTCGTTGGATTCAACTTCATGGCTTTATCTGCCCAGAGCGAAGGGTTCGCTGGACGAGGTCTTCACGTAGAAGATTCCCCTCTTGGGCACAGAGGGCTCGCCGCCCATGCGCTGGGTTTGCCGCTGGCGCTGGTCGCACTGCCATTTGCGACCCTCGCGCTTGCAGGGCGTGCCCCAGAAGCCGCTGGGCGAGTTGATGGACTCGGCGAACATCTGGTAGGCGCGTATGTGGGAGCAGCCCAGATAGAAGCAATTGCGCTGATAGAGTCCATAGTTCGGATAGAAGGTGGCGCTGCCCGTGGGCTTGAGGAAGCCAAAGTTGCCGCTGGTGTGTATGGACTCCACATACTTGGCATCGCTAGCATCGATGCGGAACTGGGCACTGCGATGACGGAACTTGGGTCCGGCCGGGTCCAGGGCGAAGATTGTGTTGTACTGCTCCGGCTTGAGGTATTTGCCCGCTGCGCCGGCTATCTGTGCGCCCAGAGAGTGGCCGATTAGGTAGATGTCGTCGTAGCGTGCATGGAGCTGGCGATGCAGCTCGCGCGTGAACTGGACCAGCTGGGCGCCCATCCCCTCGATTAGCTTCACCACCGAGAAGTAGTTGATGTTGGCCGAGCTGGCGCTCCAATCCGTCACAATCACATTGTAGTCGCCGTGCTTGAGGTAGGCATTCTTCACGTCCCGATTGAAGGAGCCGCGCGACTGGCTCATCCAGCCGTGCACGATGAGCCGTGTGGGCAGCGAGCTATTGAAGCCGGCGTGCCGCCACTTCCGCTCATTGCTGAAGTCCAGCTCGCGCCCGCACTCGGGAAACTCGCGCTTGAACAAGTAGAACTGCATGCGATGCCGAGGCGTGCCGAAGGGATTTAGATTGACGGCGATTTTCTTGAGGAACGACAAGTCCAGGAAGCTGCCAATGCCACGGGGCTCGCTCAGGTCGTTGTCGCACTTATTCCACACACAATGCTCGGCGCCCTCATACTCGTCCGCCTCCAATGTGGCCAGCAAGTCATCGGGCTCTTCCACGTCAAAGTTGCCACGACTCTCAAAGTCCACCTCGTCTGGGTCGAGCAACAAGCCCATAAACTCGTCCATCTCAGCCTCATAGTTTCCAACGATATTGTTATTGCTTTGAGCTGAGTCATACGAGAGATCAGGATTAAGGATTGCTACCCAGGCTCTAAGGCAATCTTCACTTACCACAAGCTGTAGTTAGCAGCAGCAGCGAGACGACAAATGATGTCAAGTTCATGTTGAATCAATCAGCTCTAGGTTGGATCTACTGCACTAGAGTAGCGACTATTAGACTCTGTGGCCTACGATCAGTTCAGACGCTTCTTATATATCTTTATATAGGTGACTGACACCAGTAACAAGTTGTTCTAACTCAATCTCAGCTATTTGCCATTTTCCCCGCCTGCACAACCTACAACTGATTAGCTACGTTCGATCGGATTGGCATTGCCCATGGCACGCGTTCCCCACTAGCAACTCTACCGGTTCTATATATAATATATGTATATATAATTGCACTTGTTGTGAGAGACACTTATGACTGCTTTGAACTTTTGCGAGTCTCGTAGTATTGATGACGTATGGGAATTTCGTTAATTGATTTAGGGCGTTTTACTTACTATAGTTTTATCTCCCATGCATAATGCATATTCTAGTAATGTATAATGCATAGAGAGACAGATGGCATAGGTGTAAATCAGGTATAGTTGAGACTTAGTTCAGCAGTAATGAAATGCCATTTAGTCTGGCTCAACCGATGCCTTGAGTGACGCGTGCCTTTGTCACAGTCTTTGAATGAATTTGTTTTTTTCCCGAGTTCGTGTAACTTCCAGATTTATCATTATTATATCGTCATAGTTAGCTAATCTTTAATTGTTATATAAACTACTTCGCAATTATATATATATATATATATATATATATATATATATATATATATATATATATATATATATATATATATAATTTTTTTTTTTTTTTTTTTTTTTTTTTTTTTTTCAATTTTAATAAAATATATTTTTTTTATATAAATATATTTTTCTAAAACACTTTTAATGTTAATAATATGTAATAAATCAATCTATTGAAGTAATCTTACAAAACGTGTTAATTCTAGCAAAATATAATATTAAATTTGACCTTTAGAGCCCATTAAAATAAGTATTAATATTTATTTATACTGGGTATTTAACCTAAAATAATTTTCGTATAAACTATGTCAGAAAAATGTAACGTATTTGCACCATGCGTTATGTATCCATCAGCTTTAGATCAATAGCAATTATTTTTTTGCTAAATGGCAGCACTTACTCTAGGTGGCATCACAACATATCGATATATTATCGATAGATTTAGCTCTGCTTTGCCTGTTATTAATAACAAAGATCAAGTCGCTTGCCGTGAAGAAAGCCGCACTCGCGGCTAAAACTAATCAATAAAATGAATATAGACGACGTAATATATGTGTTATGCCTGCTGGCCTGCATAGGCGCTGGCAGTTTTGTGCGAAAACTTCGCGATGAGACGCAACGCAAATACGTATGCTCCATTCTTGGCCTCATTGTTGTTATTGTCGTCTCGGGCTTCCATAGTCTGCACTGCGCCATTTCCGTCGCCCTGGGCACAGCCAGTGTGCTCTTGGTGCACCCCAGGTAAGTGTAGTGTATTGATTTCAGATATTCATAAATTAATATGTAATTCCATAATTCCAATTCCAGCAACTGCCATGTAGTTACTTTTGTTGTTATGTTTGGGTATTTAGTGTTCTTCCGGCTCGTTTATCTCTTCGGGCTGCCTACTGTGCCTGGGCCAACAAATATGATACAAATGTTGCTCACCCTCAAGGTTAGTTGCATAACCATCATTGAATAAGAAACGAACAGCTATTAAACTACTATCTTAGGTATCTGGCATTGCATTCGAGAAAACTGCAGCCTGGAAGCGCATTCGAGCTAGCGATGAGCGGCAGAACAATGAGCAGCAGGATGCCAACAACGATCCCAGCCTGAATGTCACCAGCTATGATCTCAGCTTGCAGCAGCTGACTGCAACGGAGATTGTGCGGTATAGCTTCAATTACGTTGGTGTGCTGACAGGTCAGTGTATAGTGCTCCCAAATAATATATGCAGGTCACTGCAATAGCGACTGGAATATTGTCAGTTTATTGCCAAGCAATCGACTGTGTGTTAAATGTAGTTGCACATAAATTATTTGGTTTATATGCATGCAAATTGTGTGTCTTCAACTCGGTGGCCCGTACAATTGAGCGACTTGCACTCGTGTCAAAGTCCATTTACCGAGGTGTTTAAATTTGTGCAGATAGTAAAAATTTTACGGTTGATTATCACTAGACACTAATAATCATCGTATGTGTGCCTTAAAAGCCTTATCGAAAACAAAAAGTCGGCCTGTCTTTCTTAATTATAAAAAAAGAAAATTGTAAATGCTGAGAAAGTCTACTTCAACAACTTTTAAAGTACTTTTTGCAGTTGTGTGTTTAACTGTAAAAATTTGTGCATTTACAGATATGGCTTACAAAAAGCTAATTAACATATAACAAAAGTGCTCTCTCAAGCCTGACCGATAAAAAATTGTATTTTTGCATGCAAAATGTAATTTTTTAAATTAAAAATTAATAGTAATATGTGAAATATTATCAACACTAAGTATTTTTAAAGCAAAATATCAATAACAGTAACATTTTGCTGCTTTCAGGTCCCTATTATCGCTATCGCACATATCGAGATTACTTTGAGACGCCGTTCAAAGATCATGCGCCTTGCGTGCCCGCCACCATTCAGCAGCTCAAGGCAGCTGTCTTCTATTGCAGTCTTTATCTGTTGGCCAACTACCTTTGGCCACTAGAAGTGAGTAATAACAGGCAGGGAAGCCTTATAATAAAAACAGAAAAATTAATAATTCTCTATATATAAAATTTAGTATGCGATGAGCGATGAGTTCTACAATGATCGATCCGTTATCTACCGTGTGTTGTACGTGTGGCCCACGTTCTTTATATTCCGCGCCCGCATCTACACTGGTCTGACGTTGAGCGAGTGCGTCTGTACGATGGCCGGATTCGGTGCGTATCCCGATGATGCGGATACCAACAATGGCGAGGGACCACGAAAGCCGTACCAGAATATGATTAAGGATGCTGAAAAGCATAGCTACAATTTCACAACAATTGTCAACACACGAGTGTTGGATGTGGAGCGCTGCTGGACCTTCCGCGAGGGCATGAAGCATTGGAATGTCTGCGTGCAATATTGGCTGGCGGTGAATGTGTATAAACTGTTTCCCATCAAGAAATATAGGTGAGTATGTCCTGGATGCACAGAGATAATTATAATACTAACTATTGTTGCTAATTTCAGAACGGGTGCCATTTTCCTCTGTTCAGCGTATTGGCATGGCTTCCGGCCGGGACACTATTTCTGCATCATGGGCGCACCTTTCTATGTGATAATGGAGGATACGTGGCACAAGCTAGTGCGTAAGGATGCTGTTGGTATGCGCCGCACTGTCATTGATGTTATATTTTGGATCTGCAAGTGGTTTGGCTTCAGCTATCTGGGCACAGCCTTTTTGCTATCCTCCTTCGACAACATTTGGCGTTTCTATAGTTCCGTCTATCACATTGGCTACATTACCTGGGCCCTTCTGGTTGCCGTGGGTGTGTACCTCACCAAGCTAAAGAAGTCCGCGGAGCGCAAAGCGAAACGTGCTGCCGATTCCACTGCAGAAGCTGGAGAGCCCGACGCAGTCAAGCAGAAGGCACAGTAAGAGATTTCCATAGCTAAGCAACCGAACACATTTATTTCAAAGTTAAATACTGCAACTATTCGTGTTCCACTTTCTATATATATTTATAGATTTGTAGTCAAATATTTAGACCTATATGATTTTCTTATATATCAGTACAACGGATTTTTTAAAAAATAAGCGAACAATATGGATGATTAGGACAACAAGCTAAGTCTTGGCAAACTATTTAAGATAGGCTTTGAAAATTATATATATAAAATAAATTTGTTAAACTTTAAAAAATCTTCATTATGATATGTTCAGGTTATATTGATTTAAAAAAAACAAAAATTTTTTTAAAGCATGAACAAAAGTTAAAATACTTACACACTGTAAATACTAAACGAACGAAATTCGTATTTAATGAGGGTAATGAGGGTTGAGGGTATCTGAGAACATAAAGCTAAACATTATTCAATACACATTTTAATTAAATCAATTGATATTTGAACTGAACAATTTAAACTTTTTACAAAGTTTATTAAACAATATCCAAAATAACATGATATATAAACAAGCTCTATTTAGCACGCCAAAGATGAAACAAACTTGTAGATGCAAAAAAAAAAAACATTTACGAAGTAAATTTCTATATAACTCATTTATCAATATCAAATAGTACTGCTATGCTACAAACATTATATTATGATCGACAAAACGAAATGTTAGGAAACCAAGATTATAAAATTTAACTTTTTAGATCAAATAAACATTGTTTTTAGTATATTAAATAATTAAAATGAAATCGCGCGATTCTATAGTATACAAGAGCTTTATAATAAAATGTTCTCTATAAATAACTAAAGTCAAGTTTATTTTTAAATATTAATAAATATTATTCAAGATATTTTACACGCGATGAGAAACGATTTAATTATAAACATATTCACCAAAGTCCATAAAAAAACATTCATATTATTTATATAAAATTTTATTTCTGAATTATTTTTGAGAAACAATATATATTTAAAATTAAAATACATTCTTTATAGAATAAAGTCCTTCTTTTTTCTATAAATGTATTTTCAAACTTAAATATATTTAAATATTTAACAACAGATTGAGATTGACATTGATGTATGCAAATTGAAAAAACCTAGATGTATATAAGATTTGGTTAATACAAGCAAAATATATAATAAAACTTGGTGTAAATAAATTGTTGATTTGTGTTTCCGTTTCTACTGAATGTAAATTAAATAGAGAACAAAAATACTAAGACGATGAACTAAATATGTTTCTTGGTTGATTTTGTAATGGATATTTTGTCGTTTGTCTTTAATTTATATTCGATACCAGCTCGAATTTGGTCTAAATTCAATGCGTTTCGATTTCAGTTTCATAAATTTAGTATCTTCAAATGTGGAGCATGGCAAGAGATTTCCTGTCGCGATTGCTGTTGGATATCGCTGGAGCCGTGGCAAGCGTCAGGCCGTGGTGGGCTCATCGGTGACCAGGGAGAGGCGACGCTTCACGTCCTGTGTGGTATTGTAGGCGCCGCAATTGACGCACTTGAGCCCAATGAAATGGAATTTGGTCTTGGAAGTCTGCAAGAAAGAAGCATATATGCAGATGTAGCTCAATGCGGAGTCAGTTGTACGGATAAAGGCCTCACCTTGTGGCAATCGTTGCAGAAGATGTGCACACGCTGATTCTCATACTTGAGCGGAATGGGCATGCGCAGCGCCTGCGCATCCAGATACTCCCACAGCGCCGTCATGTCAATCAGCGACGTTTGGCAGGTGGGACAGGTGTAGTGGCCCGATGCCAGCAGCTGATCGAAGCACATCTTGTGCAGCAAGTGGCCGCAGTCCGGAATGTGGCACGGAATGCGCGAGGTGTGTATATCGCCCAGGCAGACGGGGCAATGCGAGCGCGAAATGTTCTCGACGCACTGCACAATAAAAGCAAAGTGGGCACAAAAGCAGAAAATTAATATTACTATTTTTTTTTTTGTAAAGAAAGCATCCTTAAGTTAAAACAAAAAGAAAAGGAGCGTGTCAGATATTAAGCATACGCTGCAGTCAAGCTATATATCTCCGAACACCTTTCTAAGCGCCTCGATCTTGAGCACTACAAAAGCTAGAGAGCTTAAATTATTAATATAAATATATTCTCCAATAAACTACACAAATCTACAATTTTTATATTCATTTAAATTTGTATAATATTAAGCATCATCAAAACATCGCCTAAAAGTCAAATTTTCTTTTTCAATTAGAGCTCGAATACTGGAGTCAAATCTACACAGATGCTGAGCATATAAATCTCTGCTTATCTTGAGTTTGATTCTGAAGAAAACACACTTTAAACATTGTATATATATTATATATATACCATATGCATACCTCAAAAATGTCATACATATGGTATCTTTTAGTCGAGCAACTTCAACCGACATGTTCCTTTCCTTTATTTATTGTATATAGCATATTTTGGGATATCTGCTAGTCTGACATACCTCACTTTTAAAGCTTTCTACAAAGATAAATTCTCAATATTAATCAGTACCGGTTTTATTATAGCTCTACCTGTTTAAGAATTAAGAATTTCGACAATTTAAGTCTTAATTTGCCAGAATTTTAAGTTAAGCTCAACAACCTTTATTCAGTTCTGTAGATGATTCTCCATTAAGGTCAATATTCAAGGCTAATAATGTCTCGTCTTATGATCTACAATATATTTAAGCACATATTAGACTTTGCTTGGTCAAATAGGATTAGCATTGTAACTCAAAATCGCTAAGCTCGAGATCTTAAAATCTTTTTAAGCTGTGCTGATATGTTACTAACTAACTACAATTTGAAACTAATTAATCATGATTGAGCCTTCTTCTTCTGCCTTTTATCAATGCCTGTGTTCCAATGGGGAATTCAAATGTTGGCTAACTTGTACTAATGTGTCACAGCTAAGCCATTATGATATCACCTCCTCGATCTATCAACTGCTTACCCTATGTCCATCGATCTTCAGCTGCATCGGCAGACACATGTTGCAGACCTCGCAGTGAAAGAAATTGTGAGCGCCGCCGATGCGGCAAATGCCACAGCCATGACAATGATATTGCTGCTTGTCCGAATCATCGAACAGATTGCAAATGAGGCAAGTGTACTGAAAAGAGTAACGTCTATAAGCAAGTATTCACACACAGAGAGACAGACACAGAGAGAGAGAGAGAGAGTTTAGGTACTTACCTTGCCAAAGCGTACGCCGCACTTCTCACATTGTTCCTGCACCTTCTGCCGCGTGTTGCACTCGGAGCAGATGAGTTCCGTTAGAGTCTTGCGATCGAAGTGATGAGATTCGTTCTCATCATGGCAGAAGCGACACTTGTAAAACTTGTCGCAACAGGGTGTCTGCAAAAAAATATATGTGTTAGTATTATCTTAGGAGAGTAATCAAAAGAGATACGAAGATAGAGAGAAGATCAATACTGATACTGATCAAATCTATATAAACGCGGCCCTTCTGCCATATTGCCTACACATCTCTATTCAGATAAGTTACCTTAAATATACTAGTGAATTATTTTATGCAGTCTATATAAGAATGGATGACAAATCAAGTGAAACTCAGTGCGAATTCAATGTGAATTCGAAGGCAACAATGGAAAGCTGAAAGTTAGTTTTTTTAGTACGTGATCAAATGTCGCAATGTCCCGTAGTAGTTTCATTTATTTTGATATCAGATATACGACTCGGTAGTAGACTATGGTAGTTGTCATTAACATAAACTTGGCACATACAAGTCGTACACCCTTTATCTGAATCTGAATCAGAAATCAAATACAAAGAGCGTCGGCTCTGGCCAATTTGTAACAATCACGTCGCATCATTAGATGTCCGATAATTAATTAGCGTAAGAAGCCTATTTCCCACACATTAAATGTTTAAAATTGTCAAAAATATTTTGATAACTTCACACATTGACTTTCAAACTGTAATTGCTATAATCGGGCTGACCATGGGACTTTGTAACAATTCTAACACTCAAAACAGAAACTTGACCATTGCCTAGGCAAGATATATAACAGGTATGTGGAGGATTCAAAAATTTTAGATTTTGTATCCTTGATAGATATAAATATTTTAAATAATTTAGATTTTTTAATACATTTTACCCTTGTTCCCAAGTTCGTTTGCAAAGCATTTAAAATAATTGAGATTCTTCCTTTAGAAAGAGGGGTCGAACATAGTAGTTCTGTTCAAGTATATTTCACTCGAGCACGTCCCACAATAGCTCTCTTATTTGTTTTCGTTTTAATTTCAATTCCAATTTCAATTTATTTCTAGCTGTAACGTTATACAACATTCATCGCACCATTAAAATTCAACTACCTTGTCTGTTTATTTAATTTAAATAAATATAAATAACTAAATGAGTAAAAACAAGCTTGCTTTAAAAACTAAAGTACCTAAAAGCCGGCTTCTTTGATTTTCCCACACTCATAATTCTTAACTGAGAATCAATCCAAATTTTTTATTTATAATAGATTATTGTACTTATTATCATCGTTTAATTAAAGCTACGCCTTAAAAGCGAATCCATGATTTTAATTGATAAGGAAATGTGTTATGAGTTATCGACAAATATGTTTCAATTATAAGATTAAGTATTCACTTAAGCAAATTATTAAAAAGTTTCTCTGCCCTTTTTTTTATGTACCCATAATAAAAAATAAGTGTTAATATTTAATTTATGCAAAAAGCTAAACACTCGTAATTTATTCAGGTGCTAAATGGGCGCTCACTTTCTCGACTACAAATGCAATAGAATTTATTTGGTTGAGCAAGCTAGACGGCAGCAATTACCACCTAAATTAAATATGAAGCATATTCTGATGAACAGTAGTCGACTAGGAAATACCCTGCAGCAAACAGCAGATTTCATACCGGAAACTCAATCACTATATCAGCTAGAGAATTGACGATCTCTTCTACAGCAGCCACAGTTCAAGTTGACAATAATCGATAACTGTTTAAACTTTTTGAATTGAATGGGTGCTTTCGGTTGCGTATGTTTAGATACATTTGATCTGGACTGTTAGCAACATCGATTTGTGTTTATAAACATCAATTAGGATATCCTCTGACATGCACTATGGAGTCCACTGTATGGAATCTACCTTTCTTCTCATTTGGAGAAAGGGCAACGTATAACAATCGCAATTCTGGCTTTTGTTATTCTATTTTATATACAAAATATTTTCTATTGTGTTTATTGTTGTTGTTCACAGCCAAGCACTAATTCTTCCAATTGAACCAAAATTATGCAATCGCATGAAAAGAAAATTTGACTTTATTTAGTTTTATCGGAGTGTGTAAGGCTGTGTGTGTGTGTGTGTGTGTGTCTATTTAGTTATTTTTCTTTTGTAGTCGACTTCAGGAAGATCGAAATGACGATGAAAACCAGAAGCTGACAATGTGAGGCTCCTACTTAACTCGTCTACATGCTGAACGTATCAGGGACATTTTAGTTTAAGCAATAGGCGAAAATGTATGTAGTAGAAATTTTCAATATTTTAAGACTTACCACAAACATGGCGCGTCGCTTGTAGTGCGTGCAGCCGAAACGAAATGCCTCTGGTGTCGTTGGCTGTGTTGCATCAGCATTGTTGCACTTGTTGCTGTCATGAAAATGTTGCTGCTGTCGCTTGATGTGGGTGATCGCCGCAACATCTTTGTTGAGAATGCTGCCAGCTTCCAACGCTGGTTCTACAGGACTTTGGACGCAACATTTGCTGTCAGCAATGTTGCTATCAATAATGTTGCAGCCATCGCATGCGAGAGCCGGCGTTGAGTGCGATTTACGCAAATAAACAGCAGTAGCTGTTGCTGACGCTGCATTTGTTGTTGTTGTTGATGCTGATGTTGTGGCAGCTGTGACTGTAGCAGAGCTGCTGGCAGCAGCACACGATGCCAGCGCCGTTGGCGACATAATCAGCTGTTAAAGCTTTTGCTGTTCTTGGCTGCTGTTGCTAATTGTTGTTGTTGCTTTTGTCGCCACACTATCTCAGTTACAATTGCAGTTGCTAAAATAGCTTCGGTGATTACTTTGCTAATGATGACGAACGAAGCTGATGATTGTATTCTTGCTGTTGCGGACGACGCAGCCTCCAGTGAGGTCGCCAGCAACTGCGACTGCGGCGACGACGACGACGACGACGACGTTGGCGATGAGTTTAAATTGAGTTGATTGAGCTTTTTTGTATTGGTAAATGCTTGTACATCAATGCTGCTTTTATTATTGCTGTTGTTGTTGTTGCGATATTCTTCCCTTTAATTTGTTGCAGTCACTATTCTGGTGGAAGTTATGTTGATGCTGGTGCAGTAGACGTCGCTGCTATTAATTGCTGCCATCGGCACTGGACTGGGCTTTTCAATTGCTTCAATATTTTAAATAATTTGTCGTTGTCGCTGCCGCTACCGCTGCTGTTGCCGTTGCGACATCAACTGTCGCTTTGTTCGATTTGGAGTCGTGCCTGGTGTATGTACATATGTACATATATGCCATATATGATCTCTGCCTTTGGATCATCAAGCTGCAGCTACAACAACAAGTACCATCATAACGTACAGTCGTTTCAGTCGCGTCTCCTGATATTGTCGTTGCTATTCTCAATTCCCTTTTATCGCAATCCCTCTTTTAAAACTTTCGTTTGTGTAACTGTTTATATTCATTGCGCGCGTTGTCCACGCCAGCAATTATAAAGCTGCTTCCAAAGCTTTAATAGTTGACAGTGGTTAAAAATATACATACATACATACATACATTTAAAGTTCGAATATCAAAAGTATTAATAGATGTAATTGAACATTTGACATGTGTATGTACTAGTCAAAAATTGAATCAATTTAAACAGATGAGCTAATATTTAAATCAATATTAACTGTAACTAAATTACATCCCTTATAATATATATAGAATATATATACATATGTAGTCAGCATTAAAGTTTTTACTTCGAGTGAATTAAAAATTTAACTCCATTTATGCACAGTATTCACATGGTTTGTCACACTGTGTGAATACGGCACACTTGTTAATACAATGACGATCTGTGAATGCTTCGTTGAGACTTTCGCTTGCTTTTTCGACTGCTGAGCCTCGGAATGGAATGGAGCTAAGCTTTTCGACGATGAATGAAAAAAAAAAAAAAAACCAAAAGCACTGTGCAACATGGCTTTGGCACTCTATGCTTTCAATGTTAACGACTATTTGCTAACATCTTGTATGTATTCAATTTAAATCATATATACATATGTATGTATTATTATCTTTCGATTCAGCAAGAACTGTTCTGAGTCTTGTTGATTTGGGCTTTTATTTTTGCAATTATAAAGAAAACAAACACGCCGACAATAAATATTGAAACACAAATAATATAAGCAAACGAGAAACGATAAAAAGGTTAAGTGGAGGAACAAGACTGTCGACGAGTGAACAGCAAAACCAGCTAAGTGTGAAAACAAGAACAAAAACAGCCAAAACAAGCCCGAAATACAAATATCGAATATTAATTTATCTTTATGCACGCACTGCTAAAATCACGCACTCAGGTACACACACACAACATATGCATATATACTATACATAAATGTATGTTAGAAACAATCAAACTCAATTAATATTTTGATTGGAAATGTTTATAATCAAATATAAATATCCTTAATACTTTATAAACATGTTTCACCAATCACATACGTATGATTTCGCTTGCGTGTATATGTATATATATTATATTATTTTCACGTATTATTTAGATTTTTTTCAATTTTCTTGTCGAATGGTTTTTGTTGGTTGTAATCTTCGCACTATATGAGCATTCTGTATATTTATTTTATTAATTATAATTGATTTACAATAAACGCGATCAGAAGTGAAACACACTACCGAATAGAACAACAAAAACAGAAACACAGCAACAGGCGTCAATTAAATTAAATAAGTTGAGTGCACCGCACAGCGGTTTGAAGTCGCGCTCTGTCTCTCTCTCTCTCTCTCAACGAGCTTCGCTTCGCGCGGGCTACAAAATTCAACTGACGGCAATATCAACTGATCGCGAGCATTAAACTACACATGGCAGAGCTGCGAGAAAAATGCATACAGTATTAAGTTTGTATCGGAGTTTATAAACCGCTCAGGTGAAACTAAGACTAGTAAGCTTTAGAAATTATGTTTTTTAAGGAATCAAATTTACATCAGTTAAAAATTTATCAAACTTGACGTTTTATTTTAATAAAAGCTAGAAATTACAAACTGAACTAAATCAATTCCTATATTATTCAAAATTTCGATAAGGCGATAAAGTGAGCTATTATCAGTGCTGCTCGACGCAATCAATGGAACTATCGGACAAATAGTATCGACCTATCGCTAAAAGTGAATAATAGCTGTGTCATCGATAGATCAACTTTTCAATGCTTTTTCGAGAAGTTTATAAGCAGAGATCAGGTTAGTATTGTTCAGAGAGTCAAAACTATAACTTAAAAGATGTCGGAAGAAACAAAGAAACTCGACCTGTCTGGCGACGGAGGTGTTCTCAAAGAAATACTTAAAGAGGGCACAGGCGACGAGACACCTTACACCGGCTGCAAGGTTTCACTTCACTATACCGGCAGACTTGTTGACGGCACCGAGTTTGATTCTAGCGTGGGTCGCAATGAGCCATTCGAATTCGAATTGGGCAAAGGTAAGAGCGAGGTGCAAGGATGAGCGCATTTTTCATTCAGCATAACTCATTGAATTGTTTGGCTTACCGAAGGACGCGTCATCAAGGCCTTTGACATGGGTGTCGCCACCATGAAGCTGGGCGAACGCTGTTTTCTAACATGTGCTCCCAACTACGCTTACGGGGCTGCTGGCAGCCCGCCAAGCATTCCACCAGACTCGACGCTTATATTTGAGGTATTTCTAGTGTAACGATATCAATTCGATTGAATAATATAATTTATATCCAATTTGTTTGCTTGCAGCTGGAAATGTTGGGCTGGAAAGGTGAAGATCTCAGTCCAAATCAAGATGGCAGCATTGAACGTACAATTCTCGAGCAAAGCGACAAAAAGCGAACTCCCAGTGACGGTGCATTTGTTAAAGGTTGGTCACTGCTTTCAGAATGTTGTGGTTAAATCATTTGCACATTTGCTTTTTCCAAATTTTAGCTCACATTTCTGGAAGCTTCGATGGTCGTGTGTTTGAGGAACGTGACGTGGAATTTGATTATGGCGAAGGCAGTGCCATTGGCATAATTGAAGGACTTGAACTTGCTATAGAAAAAATGAATGTTGGGGAAACATCCAAGTAATTAATAATTACTATATTTGTATGAATAATTTGCATTGCTAATACTCATCTATTTTTTCAAATTTTTAACAGAATCAAAATCCAACCAAAATATGCATTTGGCACCAAGGGGAATGACGCCTTTAAAATACCACCAAACTCAGTGGTTGAGTATACAGTGAAGCTAATTGATTGCGGCAAGGGCCTCGAGGAATGGAAGTTGAGCGACAGCGAGCGCGTGGCTGAGGCTAAGGTCTACAAGGAAAAGGGCACCAACTATTTCAAAAAAGAGAACTATGAGTTGGCCATTAAGATGTACAATAAATGCAAGAATCTGTTGCCCAGCATCAAGGACAACAGCAGCGAGGAGGTCAAGGCACTTAAAGTGGCCACACACAGCAACATTGCACTTTGCCATCAGAAGTGCAACGATCACTTCGAAGCCAAGACAGAGGTACTTATCGACAATTACTGAGTATATATGAGTCCATATATAAAAATGTTCGTTTCTATAGTGTAATGCAGTGCTGGAGCTGGATGAGAACAATGTAAAGGCTTTATATCGGCGCGGACAATGCAACTTGATTATAAATGAGCTCGAAGACGCATTGGCAGACTTTCAGAAAGTAAGCGTGAATTAGAAATTTGTATACTAGAGGATAGGCAATTAACTGTTTGCAACGAATTGCAGGTTATACAATTGGAGCCTGGTAACAAGGCTGCTGCCAATCATGTTGTTATTTGCAAGCAAAAGATAAAGCAAAACAAGGACAAAGAGAAGAAGTTGTATGCAAATATGTTTACCAAATTGGCGGCTGGCAGCAATGAGGTAGAGTACTCTGATGACTGAAGAATGTGAATATGAAAACTATTATTATTAATCGCTTCAACAGACGGAGCCACCACGCGAGACAGATGTGCTGGACAAGTGTGGTGAATGGTCAGAGGAGGATGCAAAACGTGAAGCTGATTTAACTTTGGAGCGAGAGAATGTTATTATGATTTAAATTTAAAAACAAATAGCAAAACACACTTTGCATCTCAATGCACTATTCTTTATAATACATAAATTTATCATTATTATATTATTACCTACTAAAACACTGTCTGAACGCTTCGATGCCCCAAATTATGAATTTGAAATTGTAATGAAAAAATACGTCTAGTGATTCTTAGATGTTTAATAAATACGATTACATTAGCATTGAAAATATTATCACAGTTTCTATCTATTGGGCGGGTTTTAAATTTTCTCGCGGCAACAACTTAAAATCTGGTTTCTTTTCCGTGTCCCGCAACCAAAGTGGTGAAGTCGGCACCTGGGATTTGATGTACTCGGATGCCTTGAAGCAGTAGCCAGAGCAGAACTTTTTACGCTCAGTTATATCGTACACCTTATTACGGATAGCGCAGATTTGATATTGTTTAGTAGGTACCCTGAAACATACGTAGGATATTAGTATCCAACCGAAAGGATTCCATTAATGCTTACTTTTCCACAGCAACATCGCAGAGTGGATATCCACACAGTTTGTTTATGTGTCTTTCCTCGACCACATCCGCATAGTTCTCTGGACCGATTTGTGTTAGCTGTGACAAAGTCAATTCATCTGTAAATATGGCTAACATTAATTTCATAAATATTTACCAGACTTAGAAACGTCTGTTCGTCAACTTGTTGTTCCAGAAGTGTGACAACTATCTGATGAGCTCTAGCCAATGCTGCTCGTTTTTTAACCACAGCTGCTATTAGTTGCTCTCTATAATAAACAATGTGTTTTTAGCGTTTGAAGACATCACAAAAATATAGAAATTACCGCAATTGTTGATTATTTGCTGTGCTCATCTTGTTTTTTTTTTTTTATTGCACATCCGATATCGGCAACAATTTAAAGTGACTGGTTCACTGTTTTCGTTGGAATAATTCCAAATGCGTGTAATCGATAACTTGTAGTTGTGAATGCTCATATCTAAAACCTAAAGCAAAACATCAACAACAAAAAGTGGACAATTATATATTGCGGCATCCACAAGCTTCAAATATTGCTCGTTCAAATGGTTTGCGATAAATGTGAGTCCAAATTGTCCAAAGTCTCGGCGCCGAATCCCTGGCGAACTAGCAATGCAGCGGCCGGTGGACGCAAAATCAATGAAAACAAAGCATTATCATCTTCCAAGGAGCGCTTCAATCCTCTAGGCAATACTCTAGCACCTTGCCGGTAAGTCCGCAAATCGTATGAATAATAATTTAATAACAATTATTTTCTGCTTGCAGCATATGCAGACAGAAGGTGCATCAAGTGGGCGCGCACTATTGCCAGGCGTGTGCATATAAAAAGGCAATTTGTGCAATGTGCGGCAAGAAAATTTTAAATACGAAAAACTACAAGCAGAGTGCGACATGAAGACGATCTGTCACGAATACATTTTATGTAAATAATGTCCGTTAACAGATATTTCAATATTTTAGCATAGCCTATGGTATACAATAAAATAGTTAAGTAGCTTAAGTATATTTGTAACTAAGGTCAACTTTCGGTTAGTGATGTCTTTTCGCGTTCCCGTCGTCGCTTGGCGCTTTGCACTGAACTAGAGTAGCTAAGCGCATCCTTGTCGAATTCCATAGGCATTATACCCAGATCGCCGCTGTAGCGATTTTTGGCCACTTGCAGATACTTTTTGCCTCGCACTGCGGTCAGTCGCTTGTCCTGTATGATTAGGACATTGTCCGCCTCCTGGGTGGCCTTTGCGGTGCCGAAGACCGAGCTCGTTGTCAGCTCATCCTCCTGTCGTTCTTTGCGTGGATGCATGACCAGCGTAACGTGCACATTATGTTTAGTGGCAAAGCCACGAAACGCCGCTATAATCGAATCCTGTTCCCAAAACTTGTCGCCGCGATACGACGAAATGCCCATCATAAACTGTAAATTATCAATGATCACGTGGGAAATGTCGTGCACGTACTGAGCATGTTCAATCGCCTCCAGCACTGGCTTGAGCGGCTGCTGACCATGAAAGGTCATAAAGTAGAGCGGCAAACGTTCAAACTCTGTGGCCCAATGATCAAACTCCTGTAGCTTATCATCCAGAGGATAGCCCACAAATTGACGCAACAATGTTGCTGCCAGACGTGTGTTGCGTATCTCGAAGGAGCCCCAGAGAGTGCTCACTCCCTGCATGGCCAGATCCAGCGAATATTCGCTGGTGAACGTCGTCTTGCCGCTGCCCGTCGGCCCAGTCAAAATGGTGAGCTCACCCTTGCGATGTCCTTTGAGCAGCTTGTTGAGCACCGGAAAGCGTTTCCACTTAACGCCATTCACCTTCTCGATGTTCTGCAGCTCACTGAGAATGTCGTTGCGCAGGGCATTGAATGTGGTGATCGCCTTGTGGCGCACCGGCGTCGCCTTGGCCAATATGTGGCGAATGTTGAGGCGCTTTTTCAGAGCTACGTGCGGCGCTGGCTCGGTTTCCGTGGGTCGTATTAAGAGGCACCGTTTCTCATCCATCTTTTGGGCAAAAGCGCTCGCCGCATCCCAACTGGGCGTCGCATCGTAGTGCAGCCAAAAGACTAGCTCCTTGAAGCGCTCCAGCCCCGGCAAGCACTCCTGCGGCAACTGCTGCATGGCATACGGCAAGCAGATAATGCAGTCTGAGAGGTATAAGGATATATTAGAGGTATATTCAACAACTGATTGTCAGGTCAACAATACGCACGAGTTTCAATGTTCTGCGTGGCCAGCACAATAAAGTCCAGAAGATTACTAACGAGCACGGCTTTAGTCTTGTTTCCGCTGCCGTGGATTAGCAGACCCGAACTGGAGCTGCATTGAAACGTCTGTTCGCTACGATCGCCCAGATGAAGAACCTTCTCGCCGACTATCTTATGCGACGCATTGCGTAGCCTGAAGTGCAGCAGCTTTTGCTCGGGTTCAAATTGCGCTCCAATGGCATTCAGCTGCGCCTCCTTTAGGCCCTTCAAGCCAAGCGCTTCGCAAGCGTCGGCTGTGACGCTTATCAGATTCGGAAAGCGCGTAGCATATTCCAACGATTTTTCGGGCAGGCGCCGAAAGCCAGATGGTGGTACTGTCTGATAAGCCTCCAGGGCATACGTAAGTGAAACTTTTACATCACAGTTTGGGCAAATGAAGGCGCCTTCAAAAATATTATAATTATTATACATACATACATACAAGTATTATTGCACATAAAATATCTTTCAACCTACCAGTTCTTTTGTTTACATAAGCCAATGGACCCTGTGAGCGGGAAGCCGTTGCTGTTGTTGCTGTTGCTCTTGCAGCAGCCGGCAACCGTTCGCATAGCCGGCAATCGACTTGCAGGCACGTGTGTCCATCTCGATTGTAAACGTTTAGTTGTCGCAGTTGTTTTTTAAAATCTAAATACTCTTTGGTATTGAAAGCATATTCCTCTTGCTCAGCTTTAGTTGCATAATGTTGTTCCGAAAGTAGGCATCGGGTTTTATTTACGCGCAACAGCCGCAATGGTTTAATTAAACCAGCGAGTCTCATGGCACAGGGTAACTCGTGTGCGCTGTTTCAATACAGGGTGAACTCGTATATATATTTTTTTAATGGCGCTCAATTCAAATTATATAAACGTATCTTGAATTTACATAATAGTTCCAGCTGTGATAAAAATAATTAATTTACCTGTTGATATTTATTCACTAAGTCAGCATGTTACCAAGTTTGTTTTCATTTAGTGCCCAGTCGCACTACTTTTATGACCGTAGCTCTATGTATATGTACATATATATATTAAACATACATAAATCCCAAAAACCAAGAGCAGATGCGTGAAACTACGTAGACGATCATTCTGAATATTGAAGACTGCTTAATTTGTACATCAATTAATTTTACATTAAAGAAAACACACAAGTATTGTAATTGTTTAAATCATTTTATTGAGACAATTATTTCTATTATCAATACAATCAATAAGGGCCCTTCCTTTCCACTCTGGCGCGAAATTCTGAAATTTAAAGACAAATATTTGGTGTTAGAAGTATGGTCTACATAAATACAATATTAATATAAACGGATTGAATCAGTCGCCTAAGGCCATCTTTAAGCAAATGCTTTCTGGTGGAAACCGCAAAAGGTAATTGAAATAATCATCATTTAATGGAGATATATATATTCTTATATATAAATATAAAACACGTGGATCTAAAAAGTTGGGATATTTACCTTGCACCATGTAAGATAATTCGTCTTCAATATAACCTCATTTAGGTCATCAAATCTGCAAATAGAGAAATTTAAAACATATTTAATATACATTGCACAAATAAAATCACGTTAAAGTTCTTTACATGTATCAGTTTATACAAATCTACATGATTTAACTCAGAACAGGTCTGTGTTTAAAATCATCACTTTCATACAAGAATCTATATTTTATCGAATGCTTACCATGTCCGCAACCTTTTTATGCATTTTTACGTCCAATAAAATGGAAGCTTGCCTGGCATGTCGCCATCTTGTTTTTGCAGTCGACGAATTTTTTCAAGTCAACGTGCCTGTAATTTACATTAAAATTAATTATTAAAAAATCTGCAAATTGGCTTAACTTAGATTCTGTTTAATTTCAGTTTACAACGAGTTCCACATGAGTCTTACTCAGTACAGGTCTATGTATGGTCATCATGGTTATATTACAAAATTTGCAAACTAATTCTTACCTATCATATTATGTATTTTCAATCCGCATTATATGATGATGTTTTCAACCCTGTAATACCAACAAATTTAACTTGCATTAGTTTTCAAATGTAGACTATGCATAAATCACATTTTAATGAAAGTGTGCCATCAGATTGCCGATTCATCTTTAAATGAACAAATATTGTACGATATTACATTGAAAAATACAACGTCAAATCGAGAAAATGTCCCTTCAGTCTCGTCATCAGTCTCATCATTTGTGGCAGAATACATTTATACTTAATATTTTCCACTTTTAATAAACTTTCTTTATAAAACTCACCATCTTTCCACAAAGTTTTCAACGCAAATGAAAGCCTGAAGCACGTGGCCTAACCAAGAAAATTCTGACTGATTTCACTATCGATGTTGAGAACATATATGGTTGCCTATCGATATTTATCAATGCAATAATGATTTGAAGTTGTACCCCAAATCGATTGCAACTCTTAGCAAACAGCTGGGCGCTGGAACAACAAATAATAAACACGTGCGATCATACTGCATTTTAGTTTACCTTTTATTTAGCTACTACAAATATATAATGGTAAATATAACGGCATGTAGCCTGAACTGATCTTCGTTAAATATACGTTCACTTTAAACACACAGGGTAAGCAAAAGAAGACCAAAAAAATACAGAAGCAGCGAAATGCACAACTAAAGCGGCTGATGAAGCCAACCGATTCCCGGATTAAAGAGCAAGTGCGTCAAAAACGCAAGAAAGAAGCCGATCCCTATGAGATAAAAGTGCATGAAGCCACGCAACAGAGCTCAGCCCTCTTCTTCCAGTACAACACACAGCTGGGGCCACCCTATCATATCGTGCTCGACACGAATTTCATCAATTTTAGCATTAAGAACAAACTGGATATAGTGCAGTGCATGATGGATTGTCTATACGCCAAGTGTATACCGTATATATCCGACTGCGTGCGCGCTGAGTTGGAAAAGCTGGGCAACAAATACAAACTAGCCCTGCGAATTATATCGGATCCCCGCTTCGAGCGCTTACCTTGCTTACATAAAGGCACTTACGCCGACGACTGCCTGGTGGAACGAGTGCGTCAGCACAAGTGTTATATTGTGGCCACAAATGACAAGGACTTGAAGAATCGCATACGCAAGATACCAGGAGTGCCCATCATGTATGTCGCCGCACACAAGTACGCCATTGAGCGTATGCCCGAAGCGTACGGTGTGAAGGCTTAATTTAAACTTAGATTAAGTGTGCAAGATTCTTTTGTACTATCTTTAATAAATAAATATGTTAAGTGCTAAGAAAAGCTACACATGCTAAAATATGAAGAAAATATAAATCATACTTCATAATGTTCACTAATCCCAAACCCTTTTAAAGCATCATGGTCCAGCCTTCGCAGGCAAATTTATGACAAACCCACAAATATAACAAAAACTGTAAATTGTTTGACTGTTTTCGTTTATTCAAAAACTCTGGTTCGCAATGACCTTAGGCATCAGCGTGCAAGCGTGCCGTTGGCTTAGACAGGAAGTCGGAGTATGCCTGGTAGGGAGTGGAGCCCAGAGGCATTTCCTTCCACAAGTCTGGAGTCAGGTAGGCGTACGTCTTGGCAATAGCAGCATAGGTAGCCTTGGCGAAGTTACCCAAGGTACCAGTGGAGCCACGGGCGGAGGTATAGCAATCCTCAATACCAGCCATGGTCAACAGCTTCTTGGGCACGGGAGCCGACACAATGCCGGTACCACGGGGCGCTGGGATCAGACGCACCGAAACGGAGCCGCACTTGCCAGTAACTTTGCAGGGCACTGTATGGGGCTTGCCGATCTTGTTGCCCCAGTAGCCACGGCGTACGGGCACAACGGAGAGCTTGGCAAGGATTATGGCTCCACGGATAGCGGTTGCAACTTCCTTGCTGCACTTAACACCCAGACCAATGTGGCCGTTGTTATCGCCAATGGCAACAAAGGCCTTGAAACGGGTGCGCTGACCAGCACGCGTCTGCTTCTGGACGGGCATGATCTTGAGGACCTCGTCGCGCAGCGATGAGCCCAGGAAGAAATCGATGATCTCAAACTCTTTAATGGGAAGCGAGTACAGGTAGATCTCCTCCAAAGACTTGATCTTGCCTTCGCGCACCAGGCGACCTAGTTTGGTCACTGGAACCCATTCCTTGGAGTCTTCCTTGCCACCACGGCCGCGTGCGCCGCGTCCACGACCACGACCACGTCCACCACGACCACCGCGAGAGCCAAATCCACCTCGGAATCCACTACGGGCTGGAGCTGCGTCCGCCATTCTGCAATTCCATACAAAATAATCACCATTAGTATATTTTAGGTTAAGAACGACGAACGCATAAAATCGATATTTTGTTTTCGAGTGCTTGAATCAGACACCTAAGGCCATCTTTAAGCGAATTAACGCTTTCTGGTGGAAACCGCAAAAGGTAATTAAGATAATCATCATTTAAGCACTTAAAAATATGTTTAATTCTAGAAATGCGCTTGCACTGCCGCCATTTTGAAACACGTGGTAAAGCGCACTTCTAGCAATACTTTTTAATTGTTTTCTAGTTCATTTTATGCCATATAAAACGTAACAGTTTAAATTATGAGAGTATATTTTGTAAGTTTTAATTATTGATGAAAATGTCTCAGCATATTTCAACTATTTAATTTAAAAATTAACCTACTTGTAGTTGTATCAACTTTATGGGGTGAAGACAAAAACCAAATGAACGAGATATTGCCATCGTAGCTCGCGCGAGCCCATCGATAAGGTTCAATAATCGATATATTTTATGCAGAAGGTCTATCGATGCCTACTCGCTCACACAGGCAATTAAACGACTCGTTACTTTTAAATCCATATATATCGTTTTTTAAAACTTCAAAATCACCAATTCATCGAATTATGATTTACTTGACTTATGTATTTATACATTAATGCTCTGTTATAATAAGGACTAAAGTTCACATTTAAAGCCAATTGCCTGATACGACTTGTGTATATATGTTTTCAGTTCTATGCGCATGGGTAGAATATGTTTGGCTTTGCGTCTGCGTCGTTTAATGTGAAATGGGATCTGCGCACTCAGCAAGTTTATAAAATAAACAAGTATTTTGTTGTTTGTTTGCATGTATCTCTACGTTCATTATTACGCCTTACAGTTTGCGTGGACATTTCAAACTTGAAAGTCTGGGAAACTCTGCTTGAAATAATATTAAGATCTGTTTAAAAAATTTTACTGAAAAATAGTGCAAAGTAAACTAATTATATTATTGAATATAAATAATAAAATTCTTAACAATATGCAGTCGGGTACTCTGAAAAATCCCAACGGAAAATTGCCTTCTAGTAAACTCGAAGTAAATTCTGGTGCCATGAGACAAAAGCAAGGTGAATTTGTTAATGAGCTGCGGAAAAATTCCGAGCAGACTATAAAGTATACTTACGAAGAGAAAAGAAAAGCTAGCAGTATATTAAAGCATCAAAGGACTAGCAATATAACCAACCCATCGGCTGCCTGGCTGAAGAAACTTGAATGGGCGAATACGGTGTTTCCGAATTTTGGGCAGCAAGTCCAGAGGACTAAGCGACAGCATTCACAAGATGTGTCAGGACCGTCTGTTAAGCATGCCAAGCTGCCGCCAACCAAATCCCTCTTTGAGATGACCAAGGATAGCATACTAATCGGCGTATTTGACCGGGGCCACGCTGAAGGCAGAATTCCGAGACGATATTGGAAATGGATCGAAGCTGCCTTAGCAGATAAGTGCTTTGACCTGCTCGTCGAGTCAGAGTCGGGTCCACCACCTAGCTGCAAGGATGTCGGCTGGTATCAAGGCAACGTGAAAATCATATCATGCGATAGTCAACGATCTGTGGAACTCTACAAGAAGGCGGTTGCAAACGTTGGGGAGGTCTATCCTGGAGCTCAGCTGGTTGCCGTCGATTGGAGTGAGGTGCCGAGCAGACCGCGAGCTCGAGTCTGGATACCTGCGACGATAAAGGAGCCGGAACGCATTCTGAAAATGCTGCAACTATGCAATCCGCAGCTGCCAACTCACGATTGGAAAGTGGTCAAAGTGGAGGCGAACGAAGGAGCCGCAAATCAGGTGGTTCTAGTGTTGAACAAGGAATCATTGGCACCTTTAGAGGCTTCCAACGGCGAACTAAATTTTGGCTTCAGCTCGGTGGTCGTTAAGGTCTATAAATCAGACGTGACTCCTGGTAAGATGACCAATGAACAGCATATCGAAACTTCTGAAGCCGAACTCGATGGCTATATGTCGGATACATCTACACTAACACGAGGATTACAAGCACTGTCCTACGACGATCATGACGATGATGATGATGATGACAATGATGATTCCCATTTGGTTTGGGACTAGGTTGAACACGACGAAGCACCAGGACTTGGTCCAGGACCTTGAAAAGTAGCTGCAGCGCCTTATCTACAGTTCTATTTCACATATCTCCTCAAATTTGAGGTATTATTCATCATTTATCAAAGTATCATTCATATTTCTATATTTTAATAGAAAAACTGTTTTCCTTAAATATACTTACTTATTTTTGCATCCCTTTTAACAAGATTTGTTTTTGACTAGCGTATTGTTTATTACACATAAATAATATGGATTTCACATAGTATAAATTGAGCCTTATATAAGCAGAATGAAGTATTCTACTAGAGGTTGGTTGACATGGGAAGGGGAGGGGCTGGATGGTTTAAGGTTAAATGAGCTTGGTCCACTATTACCGTTTCCGTTTTCGGTTGCCAGCCTAAGACTTGACAGCTGTATAAATATGCGTATACTATATAACTATAATGCCTGGGTTAGTCATCTAGCTACGGATTCAAAAATAAATATTGCTTATGGACTATGATGTACTGCTGTAGTACGATAAATAGTTGCGTGTTGCACGAGGACTGGGCCTAAATGCAATTCGACCACAATAATAATGTCTGTTTACATATTGCAATTGCAAATTGCGCCCGATTCTCAATCTCTGTTCAATTAAGTGTTGGTGTGGGTGTAATAGAGCACCGAGTTTCCGGGCAGCTGCCAATGCGAAGCCTTCAGCTCAATCAGCTGCAACAGGGTGCGCCGTATGGCAGCCGCAGCATCGCCGGCATTGAGGAACGCATCGCGCACCACGGACATCAGTTGCTCCAACTGCTGCGGCAGCTGCTGCTCCATATCCTGACCAATGCAGGTCAGTACATAGAATAAGGACTCAATCTATAAAATCAAAAAGTATGAGTCGATTAGTTTTAGTATAATTTAATTAGTACGTTAATTTGATTTGTGATCTAATTCAGCAGCTCATGAATTGTTGTATTTAATTTGAGTAACTCAAATTAACGATCATTTAACAAATTGTTCATGAATGATTCGATAACTGAGCAAGGAACTTCGTTCATGACCAACTTGAATCGAATCGCTCACTGATCACTAAATTAGTTCAGCAATTCATTGTTATCGAACTTATTAGGAATAGTTGCTGTATTTACCTCGGACAGCGAGCGCACAGGTGGGCGCACACAATCCTCACAGCATTTGGAGAGCAAACTGAGCAGCACTAGAGGTGGCGGCGTACCCTCGCTGTGAGTGCGCAACTGGAGCTGGCGGCGTTTCAGCTGGCAAAACATTTCCGTAAGAAATGCCATGAAAGCCGTAAAACGAACCCGCGATGGCGACTTCATGCCCTGGATGGCAAACAGTAGCTGTTGGAGAGAATAATCCAAATGAATTTGCAGTTGTAATTGCACTAGAAGATCCAATGGGATTGCTTACCTTTTCGCGCTCCTGATACCACTGACGGCACGTGTTGAGCAACGCCTCCAGAAAAGTCTCCTTTTGCTCCTTGGCGATAATATTCAAGCAGAGCCGCGAAATCGGCAAAGCGAATCGTCGACTCTCAACGGCGCGTTTAATAAACTGCGACGTTAGCTCCATGAGGCAGCGTGAATTCAATTTGTTTGGATCCTCCAGAGCCGTTTCGATCAGCTGCTGTATTTCCGGAGTAAACTGCCCAATGTCAGCCACCTCGTTGCCCAGGCCCAAGCCCAAGCCGGCCATGCCACGAGTCAGTGCATCAGCCGACGACAGCGACTTGGAGCGCTGCAGCGCAGTGCCATTTAGATAGGGATCCATGCCATTTATTTGATACGCTTGATGTCCATTGTTGTAGTACTGAGTTTGCTGTCCCGACTTCTGAGCTCTGGGCTCCGGAGCAAACTTTACTCGGTTTGTCGACTGCACGAAGAGAAAATTGTATACGCATTAAAAGGGGAACAATGAGGATTCGAAACAGAGCTTGATATCTGTTCGTTCGTATTCAAATTATTTCCGATTTGATAATAATTTATATTTACATGCAGTATGTTGCCACTGGATGGTGAATTCATGAGCGGAATCTGTCCGCCCATGGGACTGATGGGATGCGTGACCAAGATGGAACGATGGTGGCCACCCTTGAGACTGTTCATGGCCGGCATATTGCCCAGTGAGAGACCCGCTTGGCGCCTATTCAGGATCGCATTGTTGGCAGCTGCTGCATATTGTTGTTGCTGCTGCTGCTGCTGCAGGAGACTTGGTCCGCCAGCCATGGGAAAGATGAGGGACGAACTGGAAGAATGTTGTAGATTGTGGTTTAGCTCTGTAAGAAGACGGCAAGAGGGATAAAGCTTGGCATTAAAATTGTGTTGGCGTTACCGATTATTGTTAAGTGCCTCAGCCGGTGGCGTCGCACGTGAGTTGGTCGTCATTGTGAACTCCTGGGCATTTATGTTCAGTTTGTTCGAGACACCCGTACCACTACCACTGCCACCACCAACACCACCACCAGCACCATTGGCACCACCATCGCCGGCTAAATCGCCGCGTACATCTTCACAACGTAAAACATTGTTCATTGAATAAACATAAATACAGTTATGGGATGAGATTTTTGTTTTTTATTTTTTTTTATTTTTATTTTTTATTTATTTTTTTTTTGAGGAGGAGGGAGGGCAGGTAGATTTATTTATGAGATAGACATATATGAAAAGAAGAAGAGAGAAAACATAGACAAAATAAATATTGTTGTAATGGCATTTGAATTGTGTGAAACGCGATGATGACGTTAAAGTAGCCTTAAAAGCTTTTGAAGCATCTTGAAAGAAGAATTTAGCAGAGATTAATGAATTTTGATGTTATATTTTTTATTTTATTAAAGGAAAGCTTAGTTGCTCTGCTGTAATTTGAATGACAACGGCTGAGAGACCGACAGTACTTTGACGTTTATCATCACTGCAAATTAAAATTGGCAGCAACATGAAAGATCAGAAAATATGATTTTGTGTAATGCATTGAACTTTTTTAGAAATACAAATTAAAATAAAGAATATTAAATAAAAATAATATAAGTAATAAATTTCACTTTGATAAATGAAAATAACTAAAAATGTGATGATATCTATTATTATGTAATGCATGCTAAGCTTACAGGCGTTATAGATGACCCTATACTACATTATATTACTTACTTGGAGGTCTGTATATATCCATAGCTGGCTTGCCACGCATCTGTCCAGGCTGATTTCCAGGTACGTTGAACGCCAAGCTGCGCCGTTTGTTTATATTCTGAAAACAAATATGTGTGATTATGCAACTGTATAAATATTATAGCTGCAACTGTAGTTTGTGTAGCCAACCTGTTGATTGGAGGTGCGCACAAAACTGCGCTCTCTGGATATGACACCTGGTAATACGGGCTGAAAATCGGGCGACTTGCGCACCTTTCGAGCATCATTCTGTTGCTGTTGTTGTTGCTGATTATTATTAAATGTGGCTGGTGAGATTTCCACTTTTTCTGCCATTGCTGGTTCTGCTTCTGCTTCTGCTTCCGCTTTTGCTTTCTCTTATATGTTAATCTAATTGAAAACCCTAATCTTTGGTTTCTTTTTTCCGTTTCTTGTTCAAGTTTTGATATTATCTTGGATTATTTGCGTGTCCGTCTCTTAAACGATCGGAATACTTGAAATAAACTTTTCTACAAGTGTTTTTTCAATATTTGAGTAAAGTACATATCACAATTCTTGTTTTTCTTATCTCCTTTTTTTTTTTTGTTTTTTTGTTTTAATACAAATATCTAGACTTAATTTCCTTTCGTAGTCTTCTGCTGAAGACAAATAGTATTTATTCCTTTTATAAGTGGTCTGAAATAAAATAGAAAATAATATTAGAAACACAATTCGCGAATATTGGTTCAGGCTCTTTTATACTCAATATACTTTCATGCTCTCAATACCAAATAAATTTAAATTACTTAACAAATAGTTTAATTATCCAATACTGTCATGCTGGCATCATCTAAATTATAATCAGCAATCATTCAGCAAATTAATTAATTAAAGAAACACTTCTATTTTTATAGATTTTCAAACACTCAGCTAGAGCCTGATTCACTCGGCATGCATATTATAATAAATAAATAGCTGAGTGGGTCTGAAAACAAAAATCAAGTTTGTATCTTGGACAAAACAGTTTGGTGGAGTGCAGAAAGAGAAAAGCATAAACACTTTTTGCGCTGTTGATCGATCGATCTGCTATATACACACACAGACAGAACATCTATATATTTATATATAGATTTATGTACTTCATAGGTACATCCACAGCCACTTAACCGGCTCTGCGGCTGCGCGTAGGAGTGCATCTGGTTTCAAGACGGCGAACAGGGAGCGCAGTTCAAATCGAATGACATCAGCTTTAAGCAATTTTTTGTCTAATTTCTCAGCGCTTTAAAGTACCCATAAAGATGGCTATGTATGTGTGTGTATGCTTAAGCTATTTTCGTATTGCCGAAATGCACATACTCTATAATAAACAAATCAACACTATGACAGTCAGTTAAACAAACCGTCTAAATAATTAAAGCAAAATGATTCTTAAAACAAACAAAATCTATTATCAAATAAATTTTTACCATCAAATTTTATGAATTTGAATCAAAGTGAAATACTGATTAAGATGAAAAGTTTTACGCTAACTGTCAGCTAAAATACCAATTTCTAATCACGTTCTACGTGCTAGCAGATCAGGGAGTCAACAGTGCTGAGCCTGAAATCTTATGGCCCCAAAGGGCATACAAATTTTAACACTTATGCAGTTTAAAGTGTATTTATTCAAAATGTCTGTACGTATACATTTGTAGTATAGTTTTAGTCCATATAAGCAAACGTAGAGATGAACAGACGAACACTGTAAATAAGAGTGTTAGCCAATGTACTATTTTACCACATTAGCGAATATGTTCAAAATAGAAACTTATATGGAATGCAGTTTTTTCTTCTTGATACTCAATATAAATATAGATATTATATTTTAGACTATATTTATTT